CTCCTCTTTCTGAGTGGGCAACCTTTCTTGCCAGGCCCCACTCCACCTTTGGAGCAGAAAGGAGCAGGACAGGAGAAAAAGATGGTAAATATAGTTTCAGAAGACATGTATCCCCTAGTAATGAAAGCAAACTCAAAGCAATTCCATTTTCCTCATCTTTGTGTGCCTTTTCCACCCAAAAAAAAGACCAGTCCAGAATAACCACAGCCAGTCTTCAATGATAATTTCACCCTGGGAAGAACAGCCACTAAAGGGGCATGAGGTTGCTTTGCTTTGCAGAATGAGGGTTGTGGGAGAGGGGCTGCTTCTCCCATGGTGTCCCATGAAGAAATCATTGTAGGAATTATCTCCAAGGACCCACGTGACATCACCCCTTGATGGCTGATGCCTCCCTGCATCTCTCTTGCTTCCTGCACTGGGTGGGCTCCAGCACATGCTTGCTGTCCCCAGGCTGCGCCCTTTTTTTCAAGCTGTGAATTTTTAAATTTGTAATAGGTTTTTGGTGGGCCTGTCAGCATCATGCGTTTTCCAGCACTCAGAGGGACACCATCTGCTCAAAAAGGAGCTGTGAACAAAATGTCTCAGACACTCAGAGTTTACCAAAAATGAAATTGCCTTAAAATGCCATATGGTGCATTGTTTCCCTTCCAGCATTGGCTGCCAGCAGAGGTGAAGTGACTAAGGCAGTTGCTGATTAGTTGCTGCATTTTCCTTTCTGGCCAAAATCTCTGGGACTGAGCACTGTCACTTCTCACCTGTTTGACAGAAGGTTTTCTTCAGCCTCAGCTGCTGAAAGCCAGAGGGTTACTGGGATTCAAAGACTTCCCCTCAATTACTTTTAATGTGAGCTTCCTTGACTCTTACTATCACAAGAAGCCTTGCAGGGATGGATGTGGTTAATGCTGATACATCAAGCATATTTTTTTCCAGGCACCCGATTTTGGGGTGAGGAAAGCTATGCCTGAAAGTTACTTTTGTCTCCTAAGCATGGCAGTGCCATTGGGCAGCGTCAGGTGCATGGAGAGGGGAAACCCTGACCAAGATCTCTGGATTTTGTGGGGTTGCAAAAAAAAAAGCAAATGCTGCAAGGAAACATCTATTAGCCCAGGATAACATAAGACTTGAAATACCAAAGCAGGAAGAATGTTATTTCAGCTCTAAAAATAGCCCACTCAGCCTAGGACCCGAGAAGCATACACAGTACCTTTCTGTGGAAGCATCTGTCCTCTCCCTTGATGATGCAGCCACTTTGGTAAGGGCTCAGGGGACCTGCTGGTGCAGTGCTTGCTCTGAGGATCAGCACTCTGAGGGGTTTTCAGTCTCTGGGGATCAGAGACATGCAATCTCTTCAGAGTGTTCCATGAAGGCCACAGCTGTAGGGTGAAGGAGTGTTGCTTGCTAGAAGGGCAGCCTACGAAACACTGATAAACTGCTGATATGTAACTCGGCTCAGTTTCTGGGGGCTGACATGGATTTAGGCATCTGTCTGTTTTGTGTTGGTTCACAAGTGATGGCACCAGGACAAAATTTTGACTACAAGCTACCTTATTTGGATTTTAGGAAAACAAACAAGACAGTCACTAAATAACATCAGTCATCCTGACAGAGAGGAAGAGGAAAAAGAAGCGGTAGCATTCACGTTGACTTAATCCCATGAAGATTGGACAGTGAAACAACTCCTTCACTGTCCCAAATAGTTAACACTGAGCTGTTTTGCTGGGAATATTTCTTCTCAAAATTCCAACCACAGAGATACTTTGGGGAGCTCACAAAGCCCACCACCCAATAGGAAAGGGGGTGAAAGAGGCTATTCCTGAGGTCTCTTGCTACCGAGTGTCTGTTTCATTGAGGCCTTTCAAAATACCCATCCAGACGGGCAGCACGTCCCGGGAGGGCTGCAAAGATGCGGAGTTTGTGTGGAGCTCTCCCCGCTGCCTCCGGGGGCTCGAAGCAGAAGGCGCACCAGGAGCCGCAGGCTGGGCAGGTGCTCCTGGCCCTGGCCAGGCCGGGCAGGGAGGAAGGCAGAGCGGGGCCAGCCCGCAGGCAGCGGCACTGCGCGGTGCTGCCCTCCCTCGAGGGGTGCCCTGAAGCGCC